GAAAGGAGAAGTGGATACACCCCATGACAAATGCAGAAAATATCTCCAGTTGATATTCACTTGCATACAAAAAATTACGTTTCTCCAACGAAGTATCACTGGCTAACAGAAATGAACTCAATGGCATCCTTAGAGGTTCTAAGGCCACTTTTTCTTATTTTTTTCTTTCTACCTTACAGGGTTTTGTTTGTATGTATTATGGCTTTCCTTTGGGGTTTTTATAGGATTCCTGAGTGTACAAACATGTGTGCTTCTGCATTTATATTTATTTTTGTGCATTTACTTAGGCTGTTTTCTCTATTTGCTTGTCATATTCTTATTTGTTTGTTTTTTATTTACCTTACTTTATTATTATTCCTTAGATGCCTGTTTTCTAACAAGAGACAGAAAGGCGGTGGCTCCAGATGGAAGGGAAGATGGAAGGAAACTGGGAGGAGTAGGTGGAAGGGAAATGGTAATCAAAATACATTGTATGAAAAAATGTTTTCAGGAAAAGAAAAATTACCAAAAGAATATATGTTTCATAATGCTCACCATATCATAATGTGCAATACTAAAAAAATGAAATAACTTGAATGTTTGGAGATAGAAACTTACTAGTTAAGCTGCCTATATATACCTATGCACTTATAATAATGAATTAATATCTGTAGTGGTTCTAATTCATTCTTCAATAATTTACCACAAATTAATTGGAATAAATAAAATGAATTTATCACTTTATAATTTTATGAGTCAGAAGTCTGATGGGATCTCACTTGGATAGTGCTTAGGTGTTAACAGGGCTGTTTCCTTGCTCATTGAGCATGCTATTTCCTTAATGGCTGTCAGATAAGGCCTGTTATTTTCCTACTTGCATTCTTTGGTCTATGTTCTCCTTCCTCCATTTTTAAATCCAGCAATGGCAGGTTAAGTTACTTTCATATTTATAATCTCTGATTCTTTTTTTCCCCACGTGTCTGAACCAGCACTTAAAGGTTTTCCACACTTACTGACTATAGTAATTAGACTGGGCCCATTAAGAGAATCCAGAGCAATCTTCCCATGTCGTCATATCCGCAAAGCCTCTTTGCCATGTGAAGAAACAGACAGATTCCAGTGATCATGAGCTTGAATACTTGTGGTGGAGAATTATTCTTTTAAAAAATTGTTACATTTATTTCATGTTTGTTTAGAGTGTGAATGCCATAGTGAGTATGTGGAGGTCAGAGAACAACATTCAAGAATTGATTCTTTCCTTCCACCACACAGTCTCTGCGATGAAACTCAGACCATCAGTCTTGGCAGCAAGACTATCTCACTAGCACCTTATGGGGGAAATATTCTGTTTACTACAGGTGATTATCTAAAAACTTGATAATTGTTAAGTACTATGTGTGTGTGGACATCTAATGTGCTTAGATTAATCTGAAGTGTATACATATGCCTGTGTCTATAAGCATAAAGAAAGGTTTGAGAAGCTACATCAAAGAGCCAATAATTGATTCAACTAAAACAGTCAGGATAGGAAATAAGAAACAGAACAAAGGGAAACTGGTATCTTCTTGATATGTCTCATTTTATTTTTTAAGAGATGTCTTATAAAAAGGTATTTTTAAAAGGTATTTTAAATTTTTAATGAAGGTTAAAATATTTGAAGATTATAAAACAATTTTATACTAATATAAAACATCGATTTATTCGATATAGAAATTATATAAGTTTACATCTAAAATTACAAGATTTCATGTGCATTTTATTTCCTTCTGTTAACTTACTAGCATTTTCATGTTTTTTTAATGGCACATGTAAATAAGAAAGATATATATATTAATAAGAAAATATTTTAAATAAAAATGTAATAAAAAAATAATAAATATGTGTGGGTATTGTGGCACACATATTTTTAAACAGTCTAGGTCCTTTATTTTTCTGTACATCAGGCCATGAACTCATATGGAATGGGCTCCAGCAGCTCTGGCTCCTTCCCTGTTGGTCCTCACAAAGTGTGTGGCACACATCCTTAATCTCAACACTTGGGAGGCATAGGCAGGGAGACTTCTGAGAGCTCCAGGCCAACATAGTGAATAGTGAAGAAATACAGGCCAACATAGCTACATAGTGAAGAAATACAAAGTGCTAATGAATACAGACAAATGTTCATCTTATTTGAATATTGGAAAATTGCTAATAGCAACAGAATTCTCTTTCCATTGATTAAGTTGCCAAGTGTAGCTTAATTATTCAAATCAACATTAGAAAGCTAATTTCCTTGCCTGATTGAAAACATAACTGTCCCTTTTTGAAGCTTCTCTGTGAGAACAGTAAAAGGATGAGAAGGATAAAAGCCTTTCAAGCCGTACAAATGTGACACTACGTAAAAGATGTCAGAAAGGTCAGAAGTCTGAAAAGCAGATATATGAGGTGAATTCAATCAGCCAACTATAAAAACAAACAAACAAACAAACAAACAAACAAACAAAAACTGCTATGGGTAGGGAAGAAGAAGGGCTGAAACATGCCCATGCTGGAGAATTCCTGAAAGCTTTAGGGAAGGCAGGATTGCAGCAACAGTGAAAAACAAAGCAAAAACAAAACAACAACAAAAAAACTGCAGCTAGCTAAAGTGTTCTTAGCATTAAAATGCCAAGCTGCCCTTGACTCTCTGTCCCCACTAGTGTAGAAGGATGGAGGTTCATCTCCAGAAAAGCGGGAAAAGTGATTGCTGACTGGGGAGATGGCTGAGTGGGTAAAATGCCTGCTGGCTGTGATCCTTAGCGCCAATATAAAAAGCAAAACACACAAACAAGCAAACAAAGATAATCCTCAACAGGCACAGTGTCACATGCTTGTAATGGGGAGGTGGAGACAGGTGTATCACCGAGGTTTACTGCCCAGCCTTTTTGTCAAGTTCCATGCCAGAGACATGTTGTCTCAAAAATCAAGGAAAGTGGGAGGTGGATCTGGAATGAGTTGGGGGGAGGAGTGGAGGGTGAATACAACCAAATGCATCGTATGAAATTCTCAAAAAGGTAATAAAAATATCATATTAACAACAAGGTAAATGACACCCAAGATATGATGAGCCCAAGGTTGCCCTGTAGCCTCTACATGCATGCACACATGATCATGTGCACATGTGTATATGTGTACATAAGAATGACTCTAGACTTGGGTGTCTTAAATATAGTTGGGGGTAGAAAGCCATAGAGTTCAAAGGGTAATTAGGTGAAAGCATACACAGTAATGTTCATGGGCCTTTTCGTCCAGAGAAGGACGAATGTGGTCCTCACATTAAGAGCTGGTATGGTGTGGATCTTAATTCCTGAGGAATTTCCGGTGGTTGGTGGTACCTTTAGGAGGTCAACATAGAGCACAACATTGGGGACACACTCTTGAAGGGGATATTGGAACTTGTTCCCTTTTCTCTTTTTGCTTCCTGGCTACCATGAGGTAAACAACTTTGTTCTATCAAGTGTTCTCTACAGCAAAATTCTGCCTCACCATGGACCCAGAAACAATAAGCCAACTTACCACAGACTGAAAGCTCTGAAATAAAAATAATCCTTTCATCCTTTTGAGATTTTAAAATATATTTTGTCACTGTAATGAAAATCTGACTAACAGCAGCCTAGCTCATAAAATGATGCCATCCAATTTTCCCAGCATGTCATACAACTTGTCCTTAGAACTAACTACCAAAGAGAAAAGACCTATGAGCAGAAACAGGTAGGGATCCTCATGGCTTCTACCTAATCACAGGGAACCCATGAGTTGACAGACCTTGTTAACACACATCAAAAGCTTTTAATAGTTGTTTATTGCTTTTGCTTAGAAATAAGAGTGGCCTACTAGACAGTTGTGGACAAAACAAACTTGAACTTGTTGAAAACACAATAATGTACTACGAACAGAAACAGCTTCAAGACCTACTATAAATATCTTCAGAGATATGAGAAAAATGACACATATAAAACAAGAATGGGTGAATATTTTTTAAAAGCATGTTTGAAGAATAGTGGTTCTTGGACATTAAGAATTATAGCAATAATAAAATTCAACAGAAACACTAACAGATAAAATTCAGAAAGTTTCTTAGAAACTAGGAGGGACAGATGACTAGTAAAAAGATGAGAGGAGAAAAATGAAATGGAATATGATCCTAAGAAATTGAGCACCTGAATTTCAACTCAAGTTCCAGGAAGAGAGGACACAAAAAGAAAACTGACAGACTGAAAACAGAAACAAAAACGGACAACAAAAACATTTCCTTAGATTGAACAAAGTGTCCCAACTGTAGGAGTACACTGTCTTCCCAGTATAAAACAGGTTATTAAAGGCTAACTCATGAACAGTAGCACCAATGTTAAGAAAATTCACAGAAAGACAGGTCCAAATACTTTTCAAAGAGAATGAATCACAAAAAGATTAGTAACAAAACTGAATTGATTTTAAAATGGTAGTAAAAGTGAAACAGGTTAATAAAGAAATATTGGTACCTACAGTAGATACACAACAAATATTTGCTGAATAAATTAACATAGTTTTACAAAGTATTAAATGATACCAGAAAAGTGAGTAAATAAAATTTTGAATAAATATAATCTTTATTACTTAGTACAGAATACACAATGATTATGAAAATTAAAAAAAAATGTTTAAAGATTGTTACAGAGAAGTAGCATTGTGATTTTTATTCTTTTCAATTTTTTCAAAATTGTATAATGAAAATGTATGTATATACTCTTAAATTATCAAAAATAATAATAAGGACTAGGCATGTAACTCATTCACATGACCTGTGTGTCTTGGTGGCAAAGGTAGGAAGAAGAGAAGTTCAAGGCCAATCTTGGTCACATAGTGAGTTTATGGTCAGCCTGAGACAGGAAAATGCCTCAAAAATATTGCTATCATCAACAGTTAAAAAACCTAATGATAAACAAAAAGCTATAAATTATTATCAAATACGTTCTAACTTATACATTCTTAATATTTTTGTTTTCTTCTACCCTCATATTTACCTTGGTCCACAGTCACTCCCATTCATATTCAGATCCAGATCGGATTTAGTAAACTCCTTATCAGCAACCAGTTCTTGAGATGTAAACATAGCTTGAGTTCTTAACCTGTAAAAATAAATTTAAGAATTTCTAATCCTGAAGCACCTGATAGGCTGAATAGTAATCCTTGGGAAGCCATGCTCTTCAAGATAGACACCAAAAATTATGTTCACATTACAACTCAACTGTTAAACATGAATGCAGAGGCTGGCGGGCACTCAGTGTGTGTGTGTTCTAAAGGCATGTTAAGTAAGCACATCAATTTATAGGACTTATAGATTTATATATTTTATAAGATTTATAGGACTTTAGATTTTCTTTATAGAAGCATGTGGAAAGACTGGTTAGAACAGAATTTAAAAATTCAGGATTATAATAAATGTTTTAGGAGCACTTCAAGTATCAGTATCAATTCTAGAAGGTGAAAGCTTCTGTCTATTCATTGCTGAGTGTTTTGTTCATTGTGTTAGTTACTTTTGTCTTAGTTACTTTTCCTGTTGCTGTGAGATAAAACATTATACAAAACAAAACAAAAAGCCAATGAGAGAAAAGGCTTATTTGGCTCACACTTTGGTGGTATAGTCTATCACAATGGGGAAGAGCTGAAAGTAGGAGCTTGAGGCAGCTGGCTACTTGCATTTGCAGTCAGGAAGCAGGAGTTAAATCCTAGACTTAAGCTATCTTTCCCTTTTTTCTGTAATCTAAGTCCCAGGTTCAGGGAACCACATACCCAACATTTAGATTTAGGTCTTTCTACCTCAATCAACCTGATCAAGGTAAGCCTTTCCATGCATGCCCAGAAGCTTGATATGATTCTGTCAAGCCAACAATCAACATTAACATCACAATTTCCATTGCTGTAACAAAACACCTAAGTAAACAGATTAATGGAGGAAGAATTTAACTCATGGTTTCTGAGGTTTCATCTTAGGGTAGATTGGCTCTATTTCTGTGGGCCTGAGGTGAGGCAGAGGAAAGCTGTTAAACTCACGTCAGCTTTGAAGCAAAGAGTGAAAGGAAATACCCATCAAAGGAAACAAGGTTGAGTTATCCTCCAAGGATGTCCACCTTGTAGTCTTTACTAAGTCATAATAATGTCACAAGTTATGAATTATCAAGAGTTTTAGTGGAAAAATCAACTCATTGATGGATTATTCAATTAACTCAATTAGTTATTTAGACCAGTGCCCTCATGATACAATCATTTTCCTTAGGTTCCATCTCTGAACATTGCACTTGTAACCAAGCCTTCAACATGCAGTCCTTTTGAATAAACACTTCAAATATAAGCCATTCACATCAGCATGGTCTAAATAAAGACTCCTATAACTCTCAAACATTATTGCCCCTGTAAAACATAAACTGAGAATATGTCTAACTTCTTAAATTGACACTTCAAAGAGCTAAGAGATCAGTGACCAATATATTTTCTTTAGGCCACAGACAAAAATAGAACTAGGTGTCCTGGTTAATGTCTACTGTCAATTTGACATAAACTAAGAGTCATTTGGGGAAAAACAAAACAAAACAAAACAAACAAACAAACAAACACCACTGAGAAAATAACCCCACCAAATTGCTGTGGACATTTTCATAATTACTGATTGATGTGGAAGGGTCAGCTCAGTTTAGGCAGCTCTAATCTGTGCTGGTGGTCCCAGATGTTGTAAGAAAAAAGGCTGAGCAAACCACAGGGAGAAAGCAAGTAAGCAGAGGTCCTCCATGGCTTCTGTTTTGGTTCCTGTCTTTCAGGTTCCTGCCTGGCTTAATTCTTGCCCCGACTTTCTTCAGTGATGGATTATTATCTGGAATGTAAGAAATAAACCTTTTCCTTCCCAGCTTGCTTTTCTTCACAGTGTTATCACAACAATAAGAACCCTAAGACAGAAAACATATTATCTACTGAGATTTATTAAGACCACACTCACATGTACTGAGAAGAAAAAGCTGTTGAAAACATAGCACACAAACCTTCTATCTAGAGTTTAGGGATCAATCACTGATACCAAATATGTGATGTTTAATATCTATTCTTTCAACTTTTTAGAAATGTTCTCTGGTTATATATACAAGCATATTTTCAACTGTGAAATCAAACTATGAAGCAGTAAGAACATCATGAATATAGTTTTCATCACTATCTAAAGCCATTTTTTTTACTTGTAACTATACATAGTGGTAGACAAAGAGATGGAATTTACAGTGCAATTATATTGTAGTGACACACAAGGTGATAGGTAAATGAATGTATAAACTGCTAAAATCAGGCAACTGTGAGAAAAGAGTAAGAAAAATAGTAATAACAGCAGTCAGAATAGCCTCTGCAGCAAGAGTAGAAATTATATTGATGACAATAGTAGCAACCACGTGTGGAATGTATCTTACCTATATTATTGTACTGGTCTTCACAGACAGTCCAGTAAAGTAATACATATATGTATCCACAGAGGAAAGTGGGACAGGCCCAGGTACAAAACTTGCCCAAGGTGATACAATTTTTAAATAGTGGAGGCAGTCCAATTTTTTATACCCTAGGTATACAGTATGTACATTATAAATGTTGGAGACAGAGACGAATATTTATAAACAGCCTTGCACTACTTTACTCTTACTCCCAAATGAATTTATGGTAGTTCTTGGTACTGCAATTTCAGATAAATCTTTGACTAATTTAGATAGGATTCACAAAGCAAGACTTTCTGAAAGCACTGACTATGTAATCTCAACACAGCAGAATCAATTATTTATCAGAATTTAAGTAAGTGTTAATGTCTTCCCAAATTCATTTCAGTGGGAAAGGCTCATCCCCAAACTCTGAACTACTTTAACAACTTTAATTTTATGTTACTTATTTGGTATTCAATTATAGACTGTCTTTCCAATACATTTCCTGAATATCCTAAAGCACCATAAATAATACCATGCGCATAACTAGAATTAATTTATTACTGCAATTGAAGTGAGTTACCTGACCACTTGAATTACAAATTTAATAAAGATATACAATAGTTCATATCCTGCATAAATTAGTGTGTGAGACTGTGCATAACACACTGAGATAGATCAAGTTTCATTCCACCACGTATTCCTCCCACATAGTTTTGGGCAGAAATAACAAATGTTTTCTAAAGCAATGAAAATTGAGCTGAGTTATAGGTCTATGTCACACAAAACATACTATGGTGCTCATATATATATATCCTATAACTTAAGGAGCTAGTGAGAAAGAAACCAGGTCTAAAATTAAGTAGTATGATTTTAGCTATTTGACAATGACTATATGAGGTGTAGATAACTGGAAAAGGAAAGCAAACATATTTAAGCCAAAGGAGAACGGATGGCATGAAAAAAAGAATACGAATAGTATAAGGCAAAAGTTATAACAAGGCAAACTTTCAGAAAAAAAAAAACTTCTTAGGAAAAATGGGGCAAATGGGTACAGAGATGACTGCAAATTACAGAAAGCTTTGCAAACTAGGTTGATTGGCAGCATGTAATATAGGAAAAGCATTTACTGGTTTTTAAAATTCAGAAGTGGTGAAAGGAAGGCATTGCATCAGGAAGGTTCATTCACGACAGATATTCTCGGCTCATGACACTACTGTGCAGACTTTCAGTTAACTCTTAAGTGATAAAACTGCATAAATCTAAAAAGTAGGCCAGAGAGTAGGTCCACTTTCAGCCTAAAAATATGAATCGTGATACTGATTAAATAGATAAATCAAGGCTCTGACTTCTGACCTGTCCCAGCTAACAATGGCAGGTCAGCTGATTTCCACAGTAGAAAAGCAGTAGGAAGAAAGAGCCTCCTCTAGTTAAAAATGACTTCAGCTTGGTGTGTTGACAGCTGCAACCCCAGGATGTGGGAGAAGGTAGGAGAAACACAGGTTTGGGCTAGCTTGGGCCACAGGTGAAGAATCTGCCTCAAAAAGCCTCCACCAAACTCCACTTAGTGAAACACCAAGGATTTTCTAAGACTGCAGATAGCAACTACCTAGGGTAATATTCATTTATGCAATAGAATTGATTCAATGAAATGATAATTTGAAGAAAGTAATTCTGAATACAGGAATAAATAGAGTCAGCTTAAAAATAAAATTAGGATAAAGACCCATGGTAGAACTCATACCATTTCTGAAGAGTTTTCCAGAAGACAGACATCTTTAGAATATAAGAAACAAAACATGAGAAGCTTTTTGTTTGTTTGTTTGGTTGGTTGGTTGGTTTTTTTGAGTTTGTTGGTTAGGGGTGTCTAAAAGACTCCAAAAACCACACAACTTATTGCTGTTACCCTTGACTGACCCCCAGAGGTGGAAGGTCAATTCTTACTGCCCAAGACACTATGCACATCAAAAACAGGACCCAGAGTCACGTGAGCTGCAGCTGACCTACATGTCCCTTCCCTGAGGAATAACTTTGTTGGCACCACAAGATACCAGCAAGCTTCCAAGGAGATGAGCAACCAACAGCCCAACACAGCTACGATGCCTATGAATGAACTTGATGACTTTGAAGCAAACAAAGAAAGACAGAAAGATGGGCAATAAGTAGAATGGGCCCATAGTACTGATGCTGTGTTTTAAGGACTCTGTTTTCGTCCATATACTTAGAATACCAAAAACATGCTGACAGAGAAACCTCAAAAGCATGGAAAGGAGGAAAAATTCTCCCCATTTAGTCAAAGAAGCAAGAAGCTTTTAAACAGTAAAACTACTCTTAATGTTCCACTCTCGTCAACCACAAAATAAATGTGGGGCATCACTTGCCCTGTTCCCACCAGCAGAGGCTGAGTGGAAGCCAGACTTTCAATTTCTATGGGCTCTCATGAGGCAGCTAAGCCCTCTGCCTCTGAGTATTAGAGGGCAACACCCAGTGACTTAGGCTACAAACTAAGTGCCTAGAACAATGAATAGACAATACTAAGATGGAAAAAGATCTAATGGGAATATGGAATATTAGAACAGACATTACAAAGAACACTTCTAAATATCCTTGAAATAAAATCGAAAGACAGAAAATCTCTAAAAATGAAACAGAAGACATAAATAAAAACCAGGCAAAAATTAACTGTACATTAGAAAATTGCTCACCTGAGAGAAGTAAAAAAAAAATATCACCAGCAAAAATAGGAAAGACAACAAACCTCACTAGATTCTTGTAAATGACTAAGAGACCATAAAGTAGAGTCAGACACCTGACTAAAGCACAACAGAAATAACACAGTTGGATTAAAAGCAGCAGTAGCATTCAGGGACCATAATAAAAGGATTTATATTTATATTTATATGAAGTTTAAGAAAAGAACATGGATGAGGCTCAAAAAAATGTTACAAAAATAATGTTCAAAAGCTCCCTAAATATGGCAATCTTTGTTGTGACAAAAATACCTTTGTGTTTTATTATGGTGGTTTCAGCAAACTAGACACTCAATAAAATAGCAGCAGTAACCACACACACTGTACTAATGCTAATTCACAAGTTTAGTTATGTAACCTGTAACCCATCAGTGAAAGTCATATGGAATATCTCAATTATTTTTAAAATTGGTCATGAACCTGTAACTATTTCAAAATGAAGTTTAAAAGTAATTATGAATATGTATAATGTAAAATGTATACATATATAAGATTTTCCTCAAAAGTCAGCTACAACTCTAAAGAGATAAGTGTTTCTAATAAGATTCTATAAGGGAGAATAGTGGCCACAAAGACAAAAATAATGAGACAGAAGCATTTTCCTTAGGAAACTTACAATTCATTGTCTTTTAAGGATATAAATACCACATTTTAAAATTCTAAATATACTTATATATGACTTACTTATAATTTTCTTAAATAGTAAACTTTATGCTTATGAATGTAAAATTACAGTGAAGAGTACATAGCATCAAAATAGCAAACCTGCTTTTGAAACACTGTTGTAAGGAGATCATTAAGAAGAGAACAATGAAGGGTGAGCGTATATCTCAGTGGCAGAACACTAGCCTAACATGCACAAGGCCTAGGGCTTGAGCTCCAGCACCAATAAAAATTAAAAAATAAAAGGGAAAGTACAGAGCAAATATGATCAACACGCAGCACATGTTTTGTCCTTATGTAACATACTACTACATGTTCTGAAATCTATACAAAGAAAACTTCAAAAGATTACTTGGGAAAAAGTAATTTTTAATAGAAAAAAGTATACGGGTATGTTCATTAGGACTAGTTATAAGGCAGGCTATGTTCAAGACTAGTAAGTATTACATTTAAATGGTCCTCATGATTTGTTTTATATGATGTCTGAAAGACATGATTGTAGGATGAAGACAACCAATCATACTTTTTTACAATGTGATTCTACACTCTGAAATAAACAATTTACAATAAACAATTTAATGTTTAAATCTCCATAGTGATACCAAATAGCAAAGCACATGGTTATCACTGGAACTTGGGAGAGAGCTCTGTGGGTAAAGAATTTGCTGCTCAAGTATGAAGACTTGAGTTCTTCATATTTCAATGCCCAGATAGGTACGATTACATGTGCTTGTAACCCTAGCTTTGGGGGTAGAGCCCAGGAGCTCAGTGGACATGGTGAGTTCTGATTTAGCAGAGAGTCTGTTTTAAATAAGTAAGGTAGAGAATGCTAGATAGATGAAGGCACTTGAGGTCCTCTTCTTGCCTACACATGTGTAGACACAGCACCCTTGCACATAGATGCATTCATAGCTTCTATAGAAGACAGGAATCTACTTGTAGTCATAACTAATATGCACTCTAGCAAGTCAAGATGCTGAAGAACCTCTATGAACTGAAGTTTGTAAAAACCAGCATTTGAAACTGTATTCTCCAACCTACAGACAGTACTGAAAGAACAGGGAGAACTTACCTATTGTAATCCAGTCGGGATTGGTGCAGCTGCTGCTGTTTAAGAAGTAGTTTTGTTTCTTGCTGGACCAGCAGATGCTGCAAGCGTTCCTTTTCAATTTCTAGTTCCATTTTCTGAAATATCAATTGTTGCCTTCGATCTTCTGAGAGCTGCTTTTTGATGTCAGTTTCACTGGAATGCTGTGGCACTCTACCATGCATGAGAGGTGCCCAGGAAATCCCACAATGACTGCATGATTCTGGATGTGTCTTAGAATATTGAGGGGCCATGTTTGTAGAATGATAGTTCTCATGAACATAACTTTCACTTTCAGAGAATTTATGACCACAGCACTGGCTAGATGGAGCAGGTGGAAGGTGTGGATATTCCTTGATCTTCAACTCTTCTGGTAGAGCTTTCTCTACTGGGGTTGCATCTATTGGTTTCCTCTCTGGAGATTGATAAATACATGTTCTGGTTTCTGATGACACTCTTTCTAAACCCTCTTTGGGATGGTAAAGTGTTATTGGTTTCAAAGAATTGCTCCTCATTGCCATAAGGGATTCTGAAGCTGAGCCCAGGTTTGCTGACTGAGGTCTTGCCTTGGTCTGACAGTGAGTTTGTGGTTTGGCTACACTCAGGTAGGAACCATCCAGGTCCATCAATGAAGGTTGGTGAGTGCTTTTCCTGTTGCTTATCTAAGAGGAAACACAGAAAAAAATGACTTCTGGTTTTTGTTTTTCAAAAATAAATGATAGATGTTTACTACAACAAAACTATTATATCATTTTCTTAAATATTAGAGTATCCACATTGTTCATGTTCCACAAAGCCACATGCATTTTCATACAACCTGTATTTCAGCAAACCTATGGGAGGATAAGAAAGTTTCAGCATTACTACTTGCTGCTTATGCAAAGCTTATTGATTTTTAGGAGTTGCAAATACTTAGGATTACATAAGTTAAGTTTAAGATGCAAACACATTAAATATTAAAATCTAAAAAAATGTATATCTTTTAATATTGAGCAAAAAAAAATTCACTTAAATATTCTCTGGCCATCACACAGAACAAGATTTGATGTAAAGCATCTTACATAATTCTGAATAGCTACTGCTAGATGAGTTTTTATAAATATCTTAGATATCTTTAGAGAACAGATAGAACCAACTACTTTCAACTTGTATAATTCTAATAAAAAGCAGTTATTTAAATACAAAATATTTAATCTCAGCTATAAACATAAGTGATTTTTTTTTTTTAATTAAACCATTTAAGGGGTTACAGTCTACTAGAACTCTGGCAGAAAGGAAGCAGTTGTCCATTTGAGTTGCCAGGTCAGAGCAAGCTTTCCCAACATTTTTTTTTCTGTAAATCTGTTCTATGAGGAGAGTGAAACTTTGTCTACATCAATTATTCTCAAACTTTACCAGGTATGATAATTATCTGAAGGGCTTGTTAAGCATGAAAGGCTGGTTTCAGCCACAGAGTTTCCAACTCTGCCTGGAATGCTCAGCTCATTTGTATCTCTAAAGAGGTTTTCAAGTGATGTTGATGTTCATCTGGGATCATGCTTTGAAAATTTGGAATCTGACTCTGGCCTTAGAAGATTGAGTTGGCATTAGCTCAGCTCTGAACATGTTTGATTTACTATAAGCAAGCAGGTTTTCTCTCAGTGCCTTTCAGAAACACGGGGTATCTAAATTCTAGGCTGCTCAAGTTGAAATATTTTAGTTTCATGTAAATGCTGATGGGCAACTTGTTGCTGATGGGCAGCCTGTTTATCAAGTTGGATAGTTGGGATTAATAAAACAATAAATAAAGTAAAGCAGAAGAATCAATTTTTTAAATAAATTTATTTACTTTACATCAAGACAGCAGTTTTCCCTCCCTCCTGACCTCCCAGTCCTTCCCTGGATATCAACCAGCCCTGGCATTATCAAGTTTCTGTAAGACTAGTAGCATCTTCTCCTATTAGTTTACTAGAAGAAAAGGGTCCAAAAGGCAGGCAATACAGGCAGAGACAGCCCCTGCTCCTGCTGTTAGGAGCCCCATAGGAAGACTCAGCTATACAACTGTTACATATGCACAGAGGTTGTAGGTACATCCTGTGCAGGTTCCCTGGTTGGTGGTTCAGTCTCTGTAGGCCCTTATGAGCCCAGGTTAGTTTATTCTGAAGGTTTCCTTGTGGTGTCTCTGACTCCCTCTGGCTCCTACAATTCTTCTTCCTCCTATTCTGCAGAATTACCCAAGTTTCACCTAATGCTTGTATGTGGGTCTCTACATCTGTTTCCATCAGTTGCTGGGTGAAGCCTCTCTGATGATGATTATGCTAGGCTCCTGTCATGCAGAAGTGTTTTAATCAAAAGAAATTGTTAGGGAAGAATGTCATTCTCTAAATGAGTTCAACAAAGTTTAGATTCTTCCTAGGACAGTCTTCTACAGCCAAAACTCTCCCATTGACTTAGATTTTACACAAAATATATGAGCACCACCAAGTAACTACAAAGATGAGTTCTTCAAAGTAGTATCATTCGTAGTAGTGTAGCTTCCTTCGGGAAGCCAGAGTATAATCTTTAGCACAAAGGCTAAAATTCACAAATCACCACAAATGCGGTGGAAGAACCACATTCCTCAACGCAGGCTTCACTGAAAGATAAGCCAAAAGAATACTATCAGATGATTAATGAGAAAGACGTTTGAAATATTCTTTATAGTTTCCACTCACATCTTCCTCTTCCCTCTGCCTTTCATTTAAAGGCCATTTACATTAACTCTTTTATTTTGTTATCATTTCTTAGCCATATTCAAGAAAGTCCAGAAAGTCATTAACAGTATTGAACAGTAGTATTAACACACACACACAAAAAAAAAAAACAACTTAATCTTTCTCCACATTGTCTAGAACAGTAGCTTTCTGACCCTTCCTTGTCCTAAGTTATTCCATCTTGGCTAGAAGAGCTGCTTGATCCCCAGCTACTCAATGCAGGGTAGAAATACTGAGACAGAATGAATTGACATCTTGTTCATAAATAATCACCTTCTGCCTAGCACCCTAAAACATAGACTGATGAGTGAATTATTCATGCTTATTTAAAAAATACCACCTTTAAGCTTATTGGACACATCAAACCAATGAATAATGCATCCCCAAATATGAACATAGCCCACACCATGACATGCCAACATGGCACTTAATCACAGACCCTGCTTAGAACATATTTCCAGATGACATACTTCCAACTGTCCCTTTACTTGGCATTAGCCTGATCTCCCTGTCACTAACATCACCAAATTCAAAGTTGTCCAGATTCCTAAACCTGTATCTTTTAGATTTGTTCTCAGTCCAGCACCTGCCCACCTGAAATGGCTCTCTGACTGGTACCAACTCTGGATCTACTTTTTTGTTACTCATTAACTCCCCCAGACTCATTTTTCTGTCACCTATATATAACTGATTGAAGTGTGATATATCATTTGGGTGCCAGATATTATTAGAGTGAAATGGAGTATTGCCATGATTATGACTCCAAAGGAATGAATACAAATTTGATGAAGTATAGCTTGTGAATCTCTTAACACTCAATATATTTTGACATTGTAGAAGGCACAAAGGTGTTCATATGTTAATGGCATAGCTTGCTAATAACACACCTACTGAAGTAATGTTTCACTTTTCATGAACAATTATTTGTACACTGAGGTAAGCTTTTTTGCTCAAGGTTGTAAAATATCCCTTTCATAGTAAACTAATAAATTATAATTTCTATATTCATTTCCTATTGCCACTATAGAAAATTATTACAAATTTTTCAGTGTACGACAACACAAATGTCTTCTCCAAAGATTGTGGAGGTCAGAAATGAGAAATCTTACTGGGCTGAAGTCTAAGTTTTGGCAGAGCTTTTTCTTTTGGGAAGCCCTGAAGAGAGGATTTCTTCCTTCCTTCCTTCCTTCCTTCCTTCCTTCCTTCCTTCCTTCCTTCCTTCCTTCCTTCCTTCCTTCCTTCCTCCCTTCCTTCCTTCCTTTCCTTTCTTCCTTCCTTCCCTCCCTCCCTTCCTTCCTTTCCTCTCCTCCTTCCTTTCTTTTCTCCCTCCTTTCCTCCCTCTCCCTTCCTCCCTTTCTTCCCTCCTTCCCTTCCTTCCTTTCTTCCTTTCCTCCTCCTTCCCTCCCTTCCTTTCCTCCCTCCTTCCCTCCCTCCCTTCCTTCCTTTCCTCCCTCCTTCCTTTTCTCCCTCCCTTCCTCCCTCCCTTCTTTTCCTTCCTCCCTCCCTCCGTTCCTTCCTTTCTTCCTTCCTTCCCTCTCTCTCTCTTAGCTCCAAGTGACCATATATATTCACTGGTTTGTGGTCTCTCTTCTATTTTCAAAGTGCACCACTCCAAATTCTGCTTTCAACATCATAGTGTCCTTTTCTCTGACTTCTTTCTTACTCTTACAAAGACCATTTGGACTATAGGGTACATCTATCTAGGTAATCCAGGATGATATCTTAACCTCATAATCCTTAGTTTAATCACATATGCAAAGTCCTTTAGGGATATAAATTATTATTCACGGGTTGCAAAATTTAGGGCTTACATGTTGAGTCTACTCATAAACAGTTTAGTTATTTATCGAGAGAATGAATGAATGTCGAGATCTCTGCCAGCAGAATAAAACATCTCCCCAATTTACAAGAGCCAAAAATGATAGATATTTAACAATTTCTGATGAAGGGACTATGTCTATATCTGTGTATGCAACATTTGGGGTTACACATACTATATTCTAAAGTAGTATGCTTTGACTGCATCATGTTATTGGAAAAAACTGAAGTTGAGTTGTGGGCTAGAAATGGAAGAAAATGAGAATCTTAGCACTTGATTGGAAAAGCAGAAGAATAACAATCTCAAAGTTGGTCTATGGGTTCTGCAGCAGGTTCCAGACAAACGTGGCCATTTCATTCTGATAATATCTGACACTCAAATGATACATCACACTTCAATCAATTACATATAGGAGACAAAACATTATAAATAGGAGCTAACAGGTAATACAAAGAGTAGATACAGAATTAGTATCAGGTTGGTCTGGAACCTCTGTCTCAAAAAGAAAAAAAATCTAGAATTAGGCTCAATCATGTGTTACTAAGAGAGAGCAAGAAAAGAAATAGAAAACAAACTTCCCAAAAGGTTCTAAATATAAGATTCAGCTGCTTTATTAGTGGAGTTGAAAATATCTAATGCCTCTCGGGATCCATGCAAATAACAATAGGCCTGAATGAGGTAGATGTGTTTTTCTTTTTAGAGTTGTTCCATGCCTATATATATATGATATTAACCAAAACAAATTCACTTAACAAAGACTTAAACTAACAAAATATTCTGAATTGTTTCTGCAGCATATGGGTGCTTAAAAACCTACATGAAGTTTTTATTTAAAGTCTTTAGGTGTATGTACACATGTGTGCACAAACACATGTTGGTTCTTTCCATCAACCATATGGGTCCTCAGGACCAAATTGAGGCTGTCAGGTTCAGTAGCCAGCACCTTTACCCAGTGAACACCAATCTGGCCTGCATATGGGTTTAATATGAAACTTTCAATAAGTAACACAAACTTAGAGCATATTAATTTTTAAAATAGAGGCAAAAATTCTAAAAAAAATGCCCAGCCAAGAGTATGACTTAATAAAATTTCACATTTGTTTACATGGAT